AGTTCAAGGAAGTAGAGAGTTCTTCTGTAGATTCGCTCACCGTATGCTCGGCTTGCACAGCTGCGCAGGATACCATAATTTAAATTAATTATTATATAAGATATATATAAATTTTAATACATAAAGTATATATATGCAAATAAGTAAAAAATTTTTTTAAATAATACTCCTGTACAGAATTAATGCAAATATTATATAAAGTTTAATTATATAGCAGCATAATTTTCATTCACTATTGGATACACTTAATTCATTATTTTCTTGATTCTCTTCACCTTCTTCATCATAATTATTCTATAAATTATACAAAAAAATGATTAAAATACAATATATCAATAATATTATTATACAGCAACAAATACCAAGCATAGTATCATTGAAACACAAATGATGCCTAATTCAATAATGCATCATGCCAATACTCACAAAACCTAATATCAAATATTTACCTACCAAGAAAATGCTTAATTTTCATGTTAAATAATGTTGGCATTAAGAGTTTTACACATTTTTGACCATAACTTTTGATGTACCAAACCAATTTGGATGAAATAACTACCATTGGATTCAGCTCACCGAGACGATTCTAACGAGCACAAGATCATGTGATTCTGATCACGGGATCACGAGATCGGGATGATTTTGATGAAAAGCACTAATAACTACTCCAAGAGCACCACCAATTTTTTTTGGTAACACAAAATTCTATTGGCCGAAATGTAGTACAAATTTTATATTCTTAATCATGATTTTCGGTACTACATTCTGACCAATAGTATTTTACTATGTAGCAATTATCGTTATCTTATAATGAATTGTCGAATTTAGCGTCAGTATCTTGGTTATATATATTGACCCTCGCACAGTAATTGCATGACGAAGGAACTTTTTCCCATCAGCTTAAGACGATATTAAATGTTATAGACAACTCTGGGGCTTTTTTTGCAGTGTGTATTTGTAAAACCCCCGTGTAATTAATTTATTTACTCATATTTTTTTTTCTTTTTATACAAGACGATGTAATTACAGTAATAATCACCCACCAATTGCAGCAAAATCCTCAAGTGGATCAGCGGCAAATCTAGCCACAAAACTTAGAATCAAAAGGGTAGGTTAAAAAGGCATTAATTGTATGCATTTGTAAAGAAACATGAAGACTATGATGGAAGGCACATTGAATAATTGTTAGAGCCTTTTGTTACTAGAGTATTTGGTGTTGTAGGAAATGAGTTAAAGTTCTTGAATTGTTTGAATATTACATTTGAATTCTTCTATAATTTGTTAAATAGCTAGAGATAATGATAGAAGAATAAGGGGTTAGAATAAATTTATAAATTTAAATTAAAATTACGATTATTAAACTAAGAAATTTTACAATGTTAAAAATTTGGAGTGCTTAATTATTTTTAAATATAAATATGAATAATATTGCAAAGATTAGGTCCAATTTACTTTTGATCATACACCAGTACAATAATTTTTGGAAACTAATGTCTTGAAATTTATTTAAGTGAAATGCACGCTAGTTACATTCTTAATTGCACACAGCATATTAATGTAAAATTTTTTTAAACCAATTTTTTGCATTAAAAAATTAATATTTCTTTTTAAAGCTTTCGGTCATTTGTTTTATAATTATTAGCCGAAGTTCGTCCAAGAGAATCGTATCTTCTAATCATAATACTTTGTTATTTTAAATTATGTAATTCAAATATCCCATCAAGATACAAGAAATATTTATAATACATTACCTTTAATTTGAGTTAGGGATAAAGGATAATTGCGTTTGGTTTTCATCCCTCATTGGTCTTATTGTAAATAATAAGATTTAATAAAACAAAAATAAAGTACAATAAAGGAAAAAAAATAAAATTTTAATAACCTTCGAGTTGGAATTAAAAAATTGGTTGCTGGTTTGCCTTCGTCTCTGTTTAGTTTTGTAAAATTAAAAAAAGCTTAGTATTTAAAATACGCCTTTATAATAGTAAAATAATTTATTATAATACTTACATCTTGCAAATTTAAAAACATTGTATGTTGATTATGGTCTTTCCAAGTACGTGGATTAGTTATTCTTCTTTTATATGATTTAATATCCATCACTAAATTTTGTACGCCTTTAAAACTTTCTTGAACCGATTGTGCCCATTGAACATTATTGGAATTTTCCTGTTCTTGTACAATTTCAAGTGCATCACGAAGTAATGATTTATATTCTTCGAATATTTGTGATGATTCAGTATTGTCATCATCGTTTGAATTAATATCAGTTATATTATCGACTATATATAAAATAAATAAAAATATAAGTTCATATTTATTAAATTGAAAAATACTTGTTCCTTACCTGTATTTGATTGCATTAATTGTGTTGAAGATTGTTGTAATATATGTTGCGATTGTAAAAATACAAAAGGATAGACTCCTTGTCACTGAATATTTTCAAAAAAAGACTTATTAATTGTAAATTGAGATGCTTGAATTAAATGTTTACAAAGAAAAAATCGATTAATTAAAAATCCTAAACATCTGCAAATCCACTTTTCTGTATCAATTACGTAATTATGATTGATTTTTTTTTCTTTCAACATTATCCATTCTTTTTTAAAGTCCTTTCTCCAAGAAGTCATTTCTCGCTTATAATAATATTTATTATATTGTTGCTTGTGATGTGGAATTAAGCGAGTAACTATAATATAAGTAAGGAAATTGAGACATGGCCTAAAGAACTTAGGCAAAAAGTCCCGCTTGATTACTTTCCAGTGAGATTCACATAACATTGTGGTACAAAAAATACAAATCTTGTTACATCCGAATCGTGTTCACAAATTCCAATTTTTTTTTTGATACCAATTTTCACACAGATAGGTCCACAAAAAACTTTAAATCATTGTGAATACAAAATTCATATATTTGTTTTGTCGATTGTTCCCAAATTTGATTTGCTGTTAAATAAAATCCATCAAT